TGCCTCGCGACTGGACGAACAGAGCCGTCATTAGTGACAATTCATTAGTCGCCGAGTGGATATCCATTCGATTTCCTCAGCACCGGCGTGTTTCCGTGCCACGATACATCGTTCTATGAGCCATTATGCAACCCTTTTTGCTTCGTTGTTGCTACTTTTCTGAGAGTTTTGATATCCGCCGAGACACACATCGATAAACACATCGGAAATAGGCAGCGCCCTTCGGCACGGCGGGAACATTTCCCTCGGCGTCTCGAGTACACGGGTCGTGCGTGTTCCTGTTCGGCATTGCTGCACCCAAGCTAAACCAAAATTGTCCCAGTGCTCTTAACTAATGTAGACATGAAAGTCATGCGTTGCGGCTGACATTCATTTTTATCTAACTTTAGCCTGATACAAAGAAAATCTCAGGCTGAAACAGTTATTGAAACAAATCTTAGGAAACAGGCAACCTGCTGACTATTGATCCTGCAAAAGAAAAAAAAAAGGAAAACGTTCCAGATAACAAATGTAGAGCATACGCCATAAGGCTCTTTCTCCGTTTTTTTCTTTTCTTTTTATACTTCGTTTCGCCATAAGCCCCGACGCAGCCGACGCTACGACCTGATGGTACCAATCAGAAAGCGTCGAAAGCTCACAATCATGGTGCTCGTCTTGTTTCTGCAAATGTTCTATCATCGCTGAACCAATCATAAACAAAAAAGGCCCAGTGACTTTGCTTTTCACGCAGCTTCATGGTCCCATTACGTCGTAGCGTCGGCTGCGTGGGAACTTAAGATAAAACAAAGTAGTGTATGGTTTTTTTTTTATGTTGTATCGTCTGTTTTATGATCGAAATATATTTTATTTGTGCTGCGTAAGCTTTTATCTTCGTAATGAATTTGCCATTTATAGGTAAAACGGACGACACGCTAAACCATCTGACGCCATAGTCAAGCTTTTTAACTTGTTGACTACACAATAGACAAAACCAGGACCTTACAGTGCTTTGTTAGTCCCTGGTTTTGTTTTTGTTTACATTTGTTAGCAGTCCTGTATTTGCCCTTGTGTGCTTGGCGCATGCCCTTTTGCGTCATTACTTAAGAAACTGGAGCGGTTTTTGTACTTGAGGAAGCAGACTTAAGTCGTCTTCATTTGACCTCTAGGATCTCGAATATCGAACATATTTTATTAATTTGGTGCATGGAGGCTGCAGAAAATCATTTTCAAAGAACCGCCGAAGGCCATCCTTCCCGGAGCGTGACGTCACTAAAGGAGCTTTCGGAATCTCGATCCGCTCTCGGGCGGATCGGAAAGGGCCGAAAAAGACGTCATGAGTGGCGCCAGTTCGGGGGAATATACCTGGCAAGCTTGGAGTTACACGCGTTTCCCGTGATAATCAAATTCATGGATGAAACTCCGCTAGAATAAACCTCTATGACATTTTTTTTTTTTTAAGAAGTGTTTTAGCTTTTTATGAAGAATTTAACTATAAAAGTCTTTGTGTTTAGATTTTAGCGTGGACCGTAACAACACTTATGCCACTGGAAAGTACGTATCGCCTCTATATACGTCGTTATGCCTAGTTTTCCATTTGATGTTCGTGTAAAATATATTTTCTGTATGACTTTGTCACCAGCATTACGACTCAGGAAAAACTCATATTCCTCGCTACATCTCTTTTTCCTTTTTGCTCTTATGAACGTTGCACTCTTCACCAAAATAAATTGCGCTACTCCAAAAACTAAATACACAAATGTGTACGTAAATAATAATATCTCGAAGAAAATAGAACAAAATGGTGAACCCTCTCCCTAAAACAGTGCATGAGGGGGACGATGTGAGGAGGTGCAGCAGTATACCCGGCGATTTCCCTGCGCAAGACTCGAAGTGCACTTGCACCGCATGAATGCGAGGCATTTTGGAGGGAAAAAGTGATGTCAGCAATATATAGACCTCTGGCATAATATAACGAACACCACAATAAGTAAGTCTTCCACTCCATCGTTGAAATGCGTATGAAAATGCCGTCGCTGCAACGTCTAAGTGCAAGTTTCAAAAGAAACCTATCTTCCAAGAATATACCTATACAAGTATCGGTGGCAGTATACAATCCGGTCGTGCTGGTAAATGATTCGTGACGTAATGTTGACATAAAAATTGATAAAAATGTCGTACAATGTGGACGGGGCGCATCGGAACGTTCAACACCATATGCGCAAGCGCGCACCGACACCATTTAAAAAAAACACAAAAAAAAAACATGCGTGGTAACAAAACGTTGAGGATCGGGGGCGGACACGTGAAGTGTAAGGAAGGGGTGTGAAACAGAAAACTGAAACTCAAGGCCACCACTTGACGGACAGTCGTGGACGATATGGAAAAGCCCAAGCGAGCGCGGGCCCCCGATGACCTCAAGTGCTATCTAACAGGGGGCAAGAGGCTGCCCTAAATAAATTTTTGGAGAATTTTAGGCGGGAGTCGAACCCACGACCCTTCGATTGAGAGCCAGACACGCTACTATGCGCCGCACTTCCTGCTCAATGGCAGGAATATCATGAGAAGGCGATGCGAACGGGGCCCAATAACATTATCGCGTTCCACTCGTAAAGGCGAAGCTTAAGCGCCCTCCAAGTTTTTTTTTTTGTTTTGTGTTTTATCGTCCGCGACTGTACCTACCGGTTCGTAACTCCATCGGAAGACGTGTTTCACCGGTCGTGATAGCATGCCAAACATTGCCTTTCCGTTGAGAATCTCAAATTTGAGTCATGAGTACCGTACACTGGAGGCGACACCTTGAGTTAAGTGTTCATAGCGCGTGCTCGAAACAAGTTCCCACCTGCATTCAGCAACAAAGACACTCTTAATAACGCGCGAAATGCAGGTTATATGCAACCATACTGGGGTGTCATGGTCAGCTAAATAAACGCGGGCTGTGATTGGTCGCCTTATTGTCGCTCCCCTGCCAGTTATATCGCAACATTGGCCGATCAAAGAGGAGCCAATCACGAAGCGAGAAGTGTAAACGTAACCTGGCGTTTCTTTAACTCACAGTGACTATTAGCGACGAGATGCTTCGGTGGCGCCCACTTATAGTTTCCGTTCGTGACGTCAAGACTTTGCCTCGACGTGGTTGGCAGAACTTGTCTGTGACTGGCCGTGGTTGGCAGAATTTTCCTTGCCGTGAGCCGAGGATTGGGCTGGCATTGTCAGTGTACATGAAGCTATGGCTTGGCCACTTGCGAACTTGGAACACGGCGACGCTTTCGGTCGTAGATGTCACTAATAGCGCTCATCATGAATTTACCCAGCTATGGCAAACCGTATTTTTACGTGGTGACGGGGACTGGCTAGAGCACTTTGATAAGTTTCTATTTTTTTTTCTTATAATGACTAGATGTGTGACCGCCGTACAATGTTGTTTTAACTCGTAAGGATCTTAAGTGCTACTCAGGTGGGTTCGGGGTCTTAAGTTTTGACCTTGCCATGACCGGTGAGGCACGTCTTCTGGAGCATCTAAGGCGTTCTTCTTCTAGGCCTCATACCCTGAAGCCGCCTTGAAGCGAGAACGTTTCGTTTGGTGGGAGGGTCCTCATGCACACGACACCCTTGTTTATCAAACAAACGTGAGTCTGCTCCACGGTCCTTAACAAACTTTGTCAGCATCCCTCTGCTTAAGCTTGGTCTTCCTTACGTGATCTGCTGAACATGGACATCGCTGCATTCCAGCAGTTCCTTACTTTTCGAGTCCTCCAGGAGGAAGTGTTTTCTTAGGCATCGTTTCTAGCGTGTTGATGTGGACAGCAACTATAGGCACGACGGAAGTCATTTTCCGCCTTGGTTCGTGTATCAAAATATACGTTGTTTTGAGTTTGAAAGACATGAACGAGCACTTTTTGACGAAAGCCGCCTATGGGCATGCACCGAAGACCGGCATACGCGGTGGGTGGAAATCCGGATTCCACGAAAGTGCTCGACCGCCGACACCCCTTCCGCTCAGGTCGCATTGAACCAAACTAACAACGCTTCGAGCAAGTGGCTAGCCCGCCTCTGAGGTCATCATTATTAGATAATCGCAGCGCCAGCTCGCGACAGGTATATGAACCTTTTCGCGAATATCTACATTAGAAATGCAGGTGAAATGAGCCCTAAGGCTGGGTTTACATGAATTCGATCGTAGAGGATCAAATCGATCAGAGACCAACCGCACACACTCTATCTTCCTACTTCTTTCTCCTCTACCCATCTACTACAAATCAAAATAGTCAAATCTCGATTCGATGTGCAACGGTCGCATTCATGTAAACGCAGACATTGACGCCTTAAATCTGCGCTTTAGATAGTGTATATTACTTTTTTGTTGTAAATGCATCAGGTAGAAGTAACGTTACTTTGTCTTTTTTTATAGATAGTTACCTAGCAGGTTAATAAAACAGTAGCAGGTTCGTGTCCCACACGAGCCTTCTACTTCCAAAAACATTGATGTCTCGTGTGCACGCACAGCCAAGGCACGATGGAGGGTAAGGCTTCTGCTGCATTCTCAACCTGTCAGCGACCATAGATCATCAGGCCATCTCAACATCATAAGCCTATAAGCTACGAGGCTCCAGTGCCAAAAAGTGCGAGCGACTCTACCTTTCGAACAACCGCAACGTCGCGACGTGCATCCAATCACGATTCAGCATTGTCCTATATCTCGTGACATCGTGGTCTTTAGCATCGAATTTTCACGTTGTACAACCGTCGCCCCATTTCCGCGTAAACGACGTCGCCCTCGGTAACTACGCGCAATAGCAAAACTCCAACGACTAAACTTGGCGGAGTTGAAATGCTGCACAAAACGAGGCGGCCAACCATCCGGCACGGAGGTCAGCCAGTGTGCATTTTCTTCGCCCTTGCCCGAGTTGTCAGCGACATCTTATTCTTTGGAATGAAGAGTCCGACTTGTCGTGGTGGATGGGTGTTCTCGAAGAGAACTAGAGGAGGTCGTCCCGTTTCGCTGGCTGTTCAGTCTCGAACGCTGCCACTCCTGGGAACTTGAAGCCGGAGACGCGGGACAGGCTTTGGTCCTGGACAGGAGGGAAAAAAAAGAAACAAAACAAGATCAGACGATTTCGTGTGCGTGCGTTTAGCTTAACATCATAAAATGGGTCACACGGAAAAACAAAACAAAAAATTTAGCGAGACGAAGAGACCCTTCTGAGTTTGCCCCTTTTTCTGTCCCTGCTGTCCCGTTTTGTGTTCAAGCCACAGGTGTTTGCTGTTGTTCTTATTGCTATCCAGTTGAAATCTCAGAAGGCACGCTTTATGACGCGAAGCTGTTTGCGTAAAAGTACTGGCTCCGAAAGGCGAATATTCTGGAAAGTAGAGAAAGTAGCAGAAATCAATTGAGGACGGATGATGAAGCCGACCTAATATTGACGCAAACTTGCAGAACCAATCTGATTCGCTGCGAAGCGACGTAAAATTCGCGGGGCTCACCGCGACATGCATTTCTATGGATGTGACTATATATCTTTTTCGGAGAGAACCCTTGGACAAACAACGCTTACCGAAACGAAGGGCATGGCGCGTTCACGACATCTATATTATCGATCCTCCGCGGCGAATGACAAGCGGTATTGGCCGATAAAAAATCACCGAGAAATAAATCACAAAGCAAGGAACATTATAAACACCATCCTGCGTTCGTTTATTTTTATTTTTATTTTTACTATCGATGATTTTTTTTTTTTTATGTTTGTTGTCATTATGTGGCTTCCAGAAGTTTCCAGAAGTAAGGTGACGGCGTTCAGAGCGACGACCTCTTCTCTGATGGATTAGGTTCGCGCAGCGCGTCGACGCGTCTCTCATTATGAGACGGGACTCATTACTCATCAGTCACCGCGAGGCGATCCCACCTTCGCGCCGGCTTCATTCATTTTGAGCCGGGGGAAACCGTAATTAATGCACGAGTCACTCCCGTATGTCACTCGCACGATTATGGCGCGTGTCGCGTTCATCAAACGATCTGCTTCCGAACCTCAGTAACAAATGAACCGGGACAGTGTGTGACCTCCTCGCTGATAAACCGTTTTTCTGGAACCAAGCACTACAGCTAAAAAACGGTTCTCCGCCAATATCATTTCTTGTTACTTGTTTTTCGTCAGTGTAATGCGTTCTGACATGTGTTTTCGGCCCCAACTAAGATAAGATGAGCCGTGCAGGAATAATCATGTATACCTTTAGGGCTCTAACCTCGGTGCGTTCTGCAGCGTCCTGAAATATTGTACGGGGTGCCGGCCGAGAAATAAGAACAGGGTCTTCTTGTTTTCTTTTTGCACTACTCGAATGAACTACGCATCACACAAAATCTCAAAGTCCGCTTAAGCGTAAAAGCCTGTTCACACAGGAAAATTTGCTTACGTTTTTTTACGCTACGCTAATAGTCGCCGGGACATTCGTGCTCTATACGGGGTATTTCACGAAAGATGGACAAATTCGATATTGCAAAAACAACGCGACGCACCAAAAAAAAAAGTCGTTTTGATCCTAGGCCAGGGGCCTATTGAGGAAAATTGTTAAAGTTCGGGATAATTAGGAAAACCAACCTCTGCTGCGCTGTCCTCGCGCAAGGCGGCAGAGGCTGGTTACACTATTTCTCCATGGGGTGCGGTGCCGTCGGTGCCGAGAGGCGCTCCGATTGCAAATTGAAGCTTAAAAACCCGTCGAAGTTGTGCGGTTTTTCAGAAAGCCATAAAATACCGCGCGTGCCTTCTATCGTTCCGCCATTTGTTGATTTGGTGTTTTTAGATGATGCTCAGCAAGATTCTAATTGAAACGAAACCCTCAAACTCAATATTTAAAAAAAAAAATAATTACGCGAAAATAATTAACAACTTAATTATCCCGAACTTTAACAATTTTCCTAATAGGCCCCCGCCCTATCACCAAAACGACACAAGCTTTTTTTCTTCTTTTTTTTTTCGTGCGATGAGTAGTTTGAGTAATATCTAATTTGCCCACCTTTCGTGAAGCCCAGTGTATTGCCTGCAGAGCTACTCGTTGGGTAGCTGTTCCGGCGACTTTGGACCTGAGCAGACGTACGCTCCCGCATCGTTTCGCAACGTAAGCGAGTGGTTCCGTGTGAACGGCCCTTAACTCTAAAGGCTCAATTAAAAAAAAAAGCCTGCATTCAATTGAGACGATCGAGGCGATTTGTTTTAGAGCCCATCTCTTAGGCGCCCGTTTCTGGGTTGAGCGGCGTCGGCGTAACCGCGCTAAATTCAGCGGGAAAATTGACGTTACGGGATTTCAACGCCAATTCAGTTTCCCCGCTAAATTTAGCGGGGAAAAAAGCGTCACGTGTCTTGGTGTCACGTCCCCTATGAGCAAATTCAGTTTCTCCGCTAGATTTAGCAGGAAATTTGACGTTACGTGCGGAGGAGGAAAAGGGGAAGGTACGGAGGAGGAGGAAAGGAGGAGGAAGAGGAGGGCAGGCGAGGAGGAGAAGGGGAGAGGAGGAGTAGGGGAGGAGGAGGATGGAAGGAGGAGAACGAGGAAAGGACGAGAAGCAGAGGAGGACGGGAGGAGGAGGGGCATAAACCTGCCCTCCGGCCTTACCCTTCCCCCTCCGCCTCAAGAGCTCCGCTCTGATTTCGCGTTACATAGATTTGCAAACGTCTAATTTTTTCCTAATTTTTTCATGAAAACATGGTGACGTGCACATGAGAAACAACAAAGTGGTTAATTGGGCAAGGTGGTTCATAGCTTTAAAAATATATAAAACGGCCGAAAACAACAGGGACCAGTAGGAAGTAAGTATAACGATACTAATCACCGGAGAAGGGGAATAAGGGGCACAAAGGAGAAACGCAAATCACCAAAGACAGCAAACACATTGGCTGGCTTGCGAGGGGAAAAAATCCACCTGGTCCTTTCAGTCGCGCACCAGTCACACAGCTTTGTTCCGAGATTTGTGTTCGTCCTTTGTCCCCCTTGTTCCCCCTCTCCGGGGATTATTATCGCTCTTCTTGTCCAGCTCGCTCGCACATTCGCGCTAGTTGCATTATTATCGAGGAGTAAGTATTACTTCTTGGTTTTTGGTGTTTTCGGCTCTTTTATATTTTTTAAATCGTGCGAAAAGTCCCGCTCAGTGTTCCATCGTTGACTTTTATTACTTGGTTCCGCAAATTTTCTACCGGAATGAGGACGCGCGCGTATTTTTGGCCGTGTAGGAAAAAACAAAAGAATTAAGTCGTTATTCTATTTTATCGTGACGAAGAGAAAGCAAACAAAACAAAAAAAGAATGCCGGGAGGAGAAAGAGGTTGCGCCAAGTGAAGGCGCGGTAGAGGAAAACATCCAAAGCGTCCCTGAAGATTCGAGGCGTCGCACGCGTCCCGCCCTTGAACGGGTTCGGGCTCTGTTGACCCACTTGTACGACCGGGTGTTGCAGCCCCGATAGCAGAGCCTGGGCCATCGAGACGAGTGGCGCCCAGAGCGGCCCAGAGGAGCTAACGCCGCGCGTCTTGCCGTTGTGCGGTCGACTATTGCGGCACTCAATCCGGTATTTGGAGCGCGTATACAACACACTCGAGAAACAATTCAGTTACGGCAATTAAATTACACCTCGTACCCGGTGTATAAGTAGCGGTTTCTTAGAAAACTTTCCGTCCGTGCGTCTTATACAACGGTGCGACTTCCATGCATTTCAGTATTTTCTTTTCTTCGAAAGTAGGGACAGTACATCGACATTAAGTCATTTCAAATAGTGTTTCGCCCTCGCCGGTCGTACAAATATATATATGTCCGACGCGTACAAAGGTCCAACTTTTTTATATTTATTTGAATGTTCGTTTTTATATTTACTTTTATATTTAGCTTTACATTTATATTTATATTTGTTTTTATTTCAGTTTTATTTATATATTGATTGATTGATTGATTGGTTGATTGATTGATTGACATACTTTGATCACCCATGTACCGTCACTTCCCGCATACTTTTCTGACAGCCGGTGGTGTGCGACTTATGGAGCAAAAGTTACGGCACTGTACTTTATCTGCTTTTCTGGGCAGTGTGTAATTCTCTTAACTGGTAGTAATTAAAGTTGTAGCTGAAACTGAGGACGCTCAAACGTGATGCTCAGTGTCGCAACGCTGACTTTTGTTTTAACTGGTGACGGCCAAGTGAGCAGACAGTCGGCCTTAAGCTGGAGCTTTAGGCCTTTGATAAGGTCAGAGGCGGTGCCGAGGCGACAAGCTCCGACCGTAGATTGCAACGGTTCGCTTTCCCAGCTGTTCTAAGAAGAAATAGACGCTCTATAAAAAAGAAAAAAACGCACGCCCAAACATTATTTTATTTGTATTTTTTTCTCAAGTTCGCTGCTCTAAATTGTTTTGCAAACGAGCTCACGACACCCGAATAAGTCATAACTCGGTGAATATGGGATATTCACTGAGTTACGACGAAAGCAGAAAAAGAACAAGCGCTTCGGTTTGGCGGGATATTACGAATCGGCTTAATTGAGAACGTCGCGAGAACCATACGCAGTTAGTTTTCAAATAGACGCTGGGAGATACCTTAAAATGACGTCTGATCCTGGAAACAAAACGCAATACCTTAGCTACGTAAAAATGTTTGCTTACACAAAAACGTGTTTCAGCCCGAATAAAGAACCTGGTCCCACAAGCACAACAAACGCTGCTCTTGGTCCACTAAAAACAAAATAATCTAAACCAGTTTCTTTTTTTTTTTTTTTGCTACTTGAACAATGTTACCTTGGATACTTCTCCGATATGTACAGTGTGCGGCACTGTTAGCGCGAACACAACATCGGCACTTTTACGCGATGTACTTCGAAATAGGCGGGCATAAAACTTTTCAGCTTAGGTAATTAGTGCCCATAGTGAGCACTTCCCGTAATACTAGCAGTTTTTTTTATGACAGTCTTTGTATTATAATTAGGGAAACTGAAGAAAAAACTGCGATTGCCATGTTCGCGCTAACAGCCTCGCGCGGTGTACTTCAGTGGCCGATGCATAGTGCTTAAGTATGAAAAACACGGATATGCATTCGGCGTGTTGTT